TTCGAGACGGTCCATCGGTTTTTTTTGTTTTAAAGATTCGTAATTATAAATGTAATGTATAGGAAATACAACATAATTCGTGCGGAAAAGTTACTCTTTCAACACTAAAATAAGTGCGGAAAAGTGGACTTTTCCGAAAGTTAGTAGAAAAGTATGTGATTTGCTCGAATGACCCATTCCTGTAATGAGGCAACTGTAACTTTTTGGATAATGAGGATATATAAAAAATTCAAAAGTCAGCTGGTAGGACTTTTCACAAATAATAACCTCAAAGTGTCATAATGAGAAATTAATAATAATAAAAATTAATGATTCAAGGGCCTATGTATACTTATTTATACTAATATTGAGCTGTCAAGCGGTAACTAAGAAAGAACGTATTTGAGATGAGTAGATGATACTATATCACGTAAAATGTGTTGTAAGGAGCATATTACGCACGAATGGAAAAGTTACGCACGTAGCCACGGAGCGGCGAGTGCGTAATTCCATGAGTGCGTAATTGCTTTACAACACGCATTACGTACTATACTCAACCTGCTACCATGTAATACATCAAAAAAGTTTGGACGAACAGACTGAATTATAATTTTGACAGTTACACACTTAACAGCGAAAACATTGAAGGAAGAGAAACTGCTCATGCGGTGTGCACCAGCTAAATTATTTGAACAAATAGTTTATCGCAATTCATATGACTACAAAGAAAAGAAAGAAAAGAATATTGTGCCCCAACAACATGGTTTCATGGCTAATAAATGTATCAGTACAAACTTGTTCGTTTTTGGAAACCATGTGTACGAGACTTTGGAAGGAAAATCACAACTAGACACAATTTATACCGATTTTCGTAAAGCTTTCGATGAAGTGGATCACGACGTGTTGTTATCGAAACTATACAAGTTTGGGTTATCTGGTAATTTCCTCAAGACAATCAGCAGCTATTTAGAAAAAACATATTCTATGGTGAGACATATAATGCACATACTACGGGAAAATTTGAAGCCAATTCAGGCGTTCTGCAAGGCTCAAATTTAGGTCCCCTGCTATTTTTAATTTTTATCAAAGATTTACCGTCGGTACTGAAATCTTCAAAAAGTCTATTATTTGCGGATGATTTGAAAATTTTCAAAAAAATACATACTATATGCTCCAAAAAGATATCGACAGTTTATATGAATGGAGTTTGAGTAATAAGCTATATTTCAACATCAAAAAGTGTTTCGGTTTGACTATCACAAGGAAAAAAAATCCAATTTTGTTCGAATATACAATTGAGAATAAGGTTCTGGCGCGCTGTGAAAATGCAAAAGATCTTGGCACCTATGATCGTAACTTTTCTTTTTCATTACATATTACAAACATATTGAAATCTGCGAACCGTTTGCTGGGATATATCATCAGACAATCTACAAGTTTCACAAACATTAATTTTCTCAAAATCCTTTACTACAGTCTAATTAGACCTACCTATATCAGAATTTGGTGCACACATATGGTTTGTAGCGAGGTTTGTAGAATACCACACTAGATTGAGTCAGTTAGAGAAAATACAAAACAAATTTCTGAGATTCATTTATTTTAAAAAATATAATAAACGTGCAGACTATAAAACTATTCGATCGTATCAGTTGAGAAATGAATTTGAAATTATGTCACTGGAAAATAGAAGAAATCTTACTGTTTTGATTTTTTTGCATAATTTGATAAATAACAAAATCAATTCACCTGAAATACTCTCACTAATAAGATTCAATATCCCCCAAAGAAGAACACGATCATTTGCAATGTTTAATATTCCTCTTGTGCTTACTACAAGACGCCCGCTCGTGGCCATGTTGAGGCTAGCAAATGAATTCAACGCCTTACTAGATTTAGAATGGACAGCCTCACGAAATGCATTTCGATCAGCAATTACGACACATCACCTCATAAATATATCTATTTGAACTAGACTAACTTCCATGCGTACTATGAAAAACTATACAAAATGTTTAACCCTCTTCCTTATACATAATTGTTATTATTATTAAATTTATAGGTTAGATTCAACATACACACAACTACATCTAGAACCTTCCTTATATCTTAGTATTAATGTATTAGTATATTGATTAACATTTCTATCCCTGTAAAGAGACCTGTATGTTTTTTAAAAATTGACCGATCTTTATGTGGTTTCCGATATCAGATGTGATATTTCATCGGCTTCAAAGAGAGCTAGAACACTCTGAAAAAGTCCGCAGCAAAAAACTTTTACAGGGTGTAAAGTGGAACCATTACACTATGGTCTACATTTCCAATGCTGCCAGGTCTCGAGAAATTTTGTTCTGATCAAAAGTCAGTCATTTTATGATACACTGGGACCTCATCCCGGGACGTTTTCATGATTTTACCTCAATTGGCCATTGGAACAAAAATTTGATTTTCTTTCCAAAGTCTTGCATTTCTTGAATTTTTTCTCTAGAACTCCACTTGAGCTGAATATTGGGAAACACTGTTCTCATGTTCTGTTGAGGACAATAAAAGACAAAAAAAGCAACATTGTGGAATATACAGGGTGATAAGAAAAAAGGACAAAATCTCATTTCGGTAAAAAAATCAAAAACGGTGACTGAAACCATGGCCCTTTTGATTCAGTATATTCAGAAACGGCCTTCTCGATATCCATTATTTATATTAGACTATTAACTCGAGACCGTTTGGGAAATTCACATCTAATTGAGATATACAGGATGAAAATTCTCAATTGAAACTTGTTTCCTGATATCGATGATTCTTCAACTGATTTCCAATATTTATTGCCCAAGTATGAGACACAGTGTATTGTTTTATCTGATAAGTTTCAACATCAACTACAATATCACATAAGAAGACGATCACATAAAAAATTTATAGAAGTGAAACGAGGTGGAAAATTAAATTTATTATACACTTTATATCCCCTAAAACTAATCGAAATATGACATCAGTGAATTCTTCAGCATTATGAAGATCCAACTAAAAAGTCCTATATCCTAAAATTCAGTACTTAGTAGGGCCTTCTTGATTTAACAAAACCTCATGAAATAGGTTTGGCATAGATTCTATGAGGTTGTTGATGGAGTCTATTGATATTGCCTAACAGTCTTCTGATATAGCTTGGATAGGGTTGTCATTATTTTGGCGTGCCTCTCGCCTCCAAGTTTCATTATGCTCCACACATGTGTACAATCAGATTCTTCTAACATTAGGTATTGTTTTCAAGAGTTCGTAATTTGTCAGATAAGTTGGTAAACACATTCATCTATAACATATCCTAATACCACACTGAAATCACATGAATGTCCATAGGACGTCCCGCGGGGACATTCGGGACATCCATAGGACGTGCGTTCCCAGTACCGCGGATATCCATAGTACTTCGGTGAGAACTACAAATGTCCCGATTTCTCACCGAGAAAGGATATCCCTCAAATATAAACATTGGACCTCTTTGGGAAATCATACAATGGACGTCCTTTCTGAAAGTTCAATCAACATTCTGTTTTCGTACCGAAGCCTTTCATTATACATCCCCCAGAACGTCCTCTGGAACGTCCATAAGATGTCCTCTAGAACGATCATAGAACGTCCCTGAAACTTCCATAGGACGTAGTCTTGAATGTTCATAGGATGTTCCTGGACGTTCGAATTTATCTTGACTTTGAATTTATTTGTGTCTCCCTAGGACCAGATCTTACATAGCAGATGAGAACATCCAGGTGAGTTGATGGTCCATAGAAGGACCCCAATAGATCCTGAAGAAGGATTCCAAGGATGTCCAATGGAATTGCGTAAAGGACATTGGCGGGGAGTATTTATAGCCTAGTCGGCGAGATGTAAGTTATAGTCCTCGCAGGGACAATATATCTCACGTACCGACTGGGTCATTCGTAGGACGTTATTTCTAAGACATTGAAAATCATCATCTGCTTGCATGGAGAACATTCATATGGGAATGTCTATCTGAAGTCCTGATGCCAATGTTTACCATCGATTGATGTTCCTTAGGACACTGTTGAATCGTATCCAGGACATTCTGAGGACGTCCTTGGAACGTCCATAAGACGTTGTACACATGACATCTTATGAAATGATACTCCCCGAATAATTTTCTTATACCTTCTCAGGGTAGTACAGTACCTATATGTACTTCATTCATAACAACATTGTGAAATTTCCACAATATTAATTTCCAACATCTTCCCTGCTACTGAAACTGGTTCACTACTCAGTGTCCTACTCTTTTTAACTTCAATTCCATAATATTTTGGTAAGTATCTACCCCTTAGTATCACATATGACATCTCATCGGCTAACTTGAATAACTTCATTGGATAATTTCGTTGCAAATTTAATCCCGAATAAATTATTTCCACACTGACCTGCAGCTCATGAAATGCATGATTAACGGTAATTTAACATCATAATAATATAACAATACCGTTATTTTTCAATTGATAACAGGTTTCAGCAAAATCTAAAACGGTTAATCAAACAGGATAGGTTTATGTTCCTATTGAATGGAAATAAAACTTATTACTCAACGGCATTTCACTAGTTTTTATTGCAACATATTGTCGTTAGTTGGTAAATAAAACTCTTCTTTACGTCCATGGTTATTTGAAAAGCTCTGAATCTATATTCGAGTTTGACAGATTCAGATTATAATGTTCTACAAGCGAAAATCCTATACAAGCTATAGACATACCTAAGACTAACAAGTTCCTCATTGTTAATATTTTTCTTTCTAGTGATTTAAAGTCTGTTGTAATATTTACAAAGATACAATGATGAGTGTGGAATCGTAATCCTTTTATCAAAATGACAGACTTTCTTGAATTAACTAAAACAAATATCAACGATGCACGCACATTGAAAGATGTTTGATTAGGTATCAAACCTAATGAAGAATAAGAACACGATTCCTGTTTAGTTTGTCATAGTGAATTTCCATCGCGTTACGAAACTGTGCACATTTTTACATGTTTTGTACAAGCAGGTGGATTCATTTCATTTGTATCTGAGTATTTTTATGTGATGAAATTGTTCGAATTAACAAATCGGATAATTTCGATGGATTGATTTATTATCACGTATTTATTAGCTTGGTATGTATGTTTGAATGATTGTTTGTATATTTGTAACTGATTCAACGAACGTAAATTTGACCCACTTCAAAACGTCGAAAAACAATTTAATAATTTTTTCTGTGACGGTAAAAAAGTTTGAAATTTCATCTCTTTTGACAGGTTATAAAATTTAACTTTTCATAAATTACTTTTTTTCCACTATGAAAAATTGAATACTTTTTCTCGGATATAGTTCCGAAAAATAGGCCAATAACACCGTCTCCTAGAAAGAACTGCAAGTCCTTTCATCCATCTTTTCGCGGTTACGTAAATTACTACACAACCACTAAGTTCGCAATTTTCAAAATCAAATCTCAGAATTAGACTGACAGATATTTGATGACTTCAATAGAATGATAAAGAGCCTGCAAAGGATGCCTGCAATGCAGGTGTAATTTCTGTTCAAAACTTCAAATTTCAGGTCGACAATTTTCTGATTTTACTATAATATAATGATCTTCTCAATATTGATTCGATCTTTTTTCTGTCACAGAAATAAATGATGTATTATAGACAGGTAAACTTCTTCCGCTTGTATAATAAATAACTATTTGTTCCATTTTCCTGATCAAGAACTTCAAGATGAATTTTTTTTTCTCGAGTAAAATGGTGAATGCAGTTCGGCCACCAATATTTCAAATGTGCCGCCACCAAAAATTCAAATGTTCCTCTCTATTATTATTTTTTATATATTTGCCTTTATTTATTCCACGAAGATTACAGTGGATCTTAAAGTGGGAACTAGAGCTATCTATATTTACAATTATAAAAGTAAAAATAAAAGTACGTATATAGGTAGAAATCGCCATACAAAAACATAATGAATAAATCAATTTGGAAAAGCATAATACCATCATATAGACACAATTCACAGACTCATCTGATACAGCCTATGAGCAAAAGGGACATGAAAAAGACATTATATTTCGAATAACTTCTTACATTCTGACATGGCAGTGTATTGGACCAAGTGTTTTAAAAAAGTGTTTTTTAAAAAAAAAAGTGTTTTAAAAAAGTGCTATGAGCAAAAGGGACATGAAAAAGACATTATATTTCGAATAACTTCTTACATTCTGACATGGCAGTGTATTGGACCAAGTACACTGGGGGACGGTGTAGTTACAATAGTTATTTTTGTATCTAGTGCACGAAATGCTTATATCCTGATCGAGAACTGATGTTTTTAACGAGGCTCAGCCGACTTAAAAAAATAGTCTAGATGACCAAAGTATTCGGCTCACGAGTTGCCAACATTTTTTCAACAAACGTCAAAGTATATAGTTCTAAATTAGTAAATACCTATAAAAAATAGTGTTGAACTCTCTTGAATGGCCATAATTATTTTTAAGCATTCAGAAATGAATGATTTCTTGGATTTTTGCACGATTGAGGACCGTGGAGTTGAAATATTAATATCTCATATATTTTATTTAACAATGCGCGAAGTAGGTACTTCGCGTATCGTTTCACTTCGCGCATTGCTCGCATTTCGCAAATTGTTATCAATGCGTGAACCTAGTCATTTTTTGTCGTTTGGTAAAATATTAGAATATAAACTAAACACGACTTTTTAGTTAGCCGAAGTGGAAAATAAAATATATATAGTCGTACAGAAAACTGGAAAGCTCGCATTTATAGTGAGCTTATCTGAATACAAGTAGAAAATGAAATATTGAAATCGTGTTGATAAAGATACACAGCACGCTTTAATTTTTATTAAACTTTTTCAATTTCGACTATCTATAAAAGCGAGTTTTTCTAGTTTCTTCGAACTACTACATGCATTTTTCAACAATAAATCTCAGCAACAGATTTTGTTCATTTGAACTAATTCAAAGATACATTACTTTGTGACAATAATGGCAAAGTCATTTAATTCGATGAGACAATACGATAATGAGTTGACCTAATTGATTTGTTTATATAACAGTTCATTCATCTCTCATTGTAATCAAATGTTTCTGAAATAATTCATCCAAATGATAAAAACAATGAAATATGTACTATGTGTAGGTTGGGATCATTCCGTCATTCATTCATCCATTGATTCATTCTTCATTCATTCATTCATTCATTCGTTCGTTCGTTCGTTCATTCATTCATTCATTCATTCATTCATTCATTCATTCATTCATTCATTCGTTCGTTCGTTCGTTCGTTCGTTCGTTCGTTCGTTCATTCATTCATTCATTCATTCATTCATTCATTCATTCATTCATTCATTCATTCATTCATTCATTCATTCATTCATTCATTCATTCATTCATTCATTCATTCATTCATTCATTCATTCATTCATTCATTCATTCATTCATTCATTCATTCATTCATTCATTCATTCATTCATTCATTCATTCATTCATTCATTCATTCATTCATTCATTCATTCATTCATTCATTCATTCATTCATTCATTCATTCATTCATTCATTCATTCATTCATTCATTCATTCATTCATTCATTCATTCATTCATTCATTCATTCATTCATTCATTCATTCATTCATTCATTCATTCATTCATTCATTCATTCATTCATTCATTCATTCATTCATTCATTCATTCATTCATTCATTCATTCATTCATTCATTCATTCATTCATTCATTCATTCATTCATTCATTCATTCCATTAAAATGGATGGGTGCCTTTCGAAATGGCAACGTCCATTTTAGGTCCGATTTAGGTCTGAACGTCCGGGACCTCCCCAATTGACCTATTGAAAACGTCTATTTCTTGCGTACTGGGCTCGTACGATTCCGATGTACTGGGTACGTCCAGCTCTGGACGTTATCGACATTTTCTGGACAAGATTGAATATGCATTGTATAATGATAATTGAAATCATTGCATGTAATTTCTGCCCTCGATCTCTGATTATCTATCCATATAGGAACCTTGCAAACATGAACATCTTACAATTCCCCCAATTCAATTTTGACTAGCCGTACCTAATCACAATACCTCTATATAGATATTCGGGTCGATTCTGTTTGCAAGTAGCAATATGGTTGTAGAGAAGATATTGCTATCATAGCAAGATTCGAAAAAGTGGAATTCTCATAATCGATTTTTGGCAATATGATCTGTCAATTTCAATGACATCTGGTCAGCTTTCTTGCTATCTCGGCAACATCAATTTTGTGCATGCTATCTTATAACAAGACAGTAGATTCTTTGTTTTTGCACTACAAATTCTTCCAACTGTATGAAAATTCAGAAAATAGTGGATTAAAGACATATGAGAGTTCAGTTGTGTCACTGACTACTCGAAAACCTTTCCTAAAAGTTTCAATTCGTAGAAGAATTATTGAAAAACTTAGAATGGTGATTACAAACATATAGGATAGTTGCACTATTGTGACCAACTACTTGAAAACCTTTTCTTGAAGTTCCAATTTAGAGAGGAAATATGAGACTACAATTTCGGCATATCAGAGAAATTCCAGTTGCCTGATGGATAGTTTATCAAGCTATTTTGCTAGAATATTAAAAAAAATCACGATTTGTTCCATCCGTTCTTTAGTTGTAAATGGTAAATTTCTTTACTAGATGCTTACTCTACATATTTCCAGAACTATTTTAAGCTTCGAAGAATCAGTCGACTGATCCGCAACCCTAAGAAACCAGGACACTCTCCATGGATAATTTCACCTCAATAACTACAGCCACCGGTACTTTACCTCCTCTGTTCTTCAACTCAACGGTGCCACCTGATGTGGAAGATGATTCGATATTCTTCGTCTGGTACGACTACCTCATCTTCTGCTGCTTGTTGTGCACAAGCTGGGGCATGGGCATCTATATCGGGTGTTTCGGAAAGAAACAAACGACGACGAATGACTATCTGCACGGAGGGAAACAGATGAATGTGCTGCCGGTGGCCATTTCCTTGACAGCTAGGTGAGAACTGAGAACAGTATACCGGGTGACACAGGAGACATGCATCAGCCTGTAGTTTTTTTATTTGAAGAGATACAAATTTTAAATTCACAAGAGTTATATTATCAATGATGGCGCTTTCTTTGAACCCAATGACAATTTATTTCACCACCTGTTTGATGGGAAAAAGACCCAACTTTTTTCTTCATATGGCACTCTGTATATTTCTGTAGCGTATCTTATTCGCCTCAGAATTCCCTATTCAACTATGTATCACAATTCGATATTCGTTCATTAATTGGCTGTTAAATGGCATTTTATTGAAATACATGAATAATTTGGCTGTGGCAAGAATACAATGACATTTCGATGCTTGATAGGCTTAGAAATCCAAAGATCATCACTTAGACGATATCATCAGAATATTTTCCATACCCTAATCGGTTCCAGAAAATTCCCAATAATTTCATTGAGTTTAAGAAAATCATTCGAACATAAGATAGAAACTCAGTTTTTTTCATTTGGCTACTTTTTTGCCATGTAGCCATGATATGATCATCCATTCGGATACATGAAACTGAAATTGTTGAAATAATTGATGTATAATTCATCTGTTCATCTCTCAAGGAGAAAAGGGCAGAAAAAAACCAAGACATAATTTTTTTCGTTGAATAAACAAGATAAAATTACCTCAAATTTATTTGCTTTGGAATAAAATCTGAAATCAAATTCAGTGTGTGAGGATGAGCAAGTTTATTTACAAACCAATGAAATATTGAGAACGATTCAATGAACATTGATAAATAGTTAATATTATCATATATAATACCACAAGTGATAATATTTTGCCGGAAATATTCGGTGATTGTTACGACAGCTTGTTGCCTAGTAATTTGGGCAATTAGAGCAGCAAGCTGGAGTATGTCAATCGACGAATATTTCCAGGAAAAATAGTATCACGAGTTGTATTCGTATGACTATTTCATGATTGAATGAGACAATATATATAAGAAATAGGAAACATAATTTAAGTATATTCCAACTCGAACATAAGAACATAATGATAGTAATGAAACACAGACTTCATTTTTTTAGAAATTAACTAGCTACTTATAGTTATTCACAAAGTGGAATGTACAATTTTGATGAACAGTATTTTGTTCATTATCTTGGAGATGGTTGTTCTCAAAAGAGTGTATAGTAGCAGGTGACTTGAATATTAACTATTTAGATACAAAATCAACAGAATTTCAAGATCTGACCAACTTATTTCTCTCATTTAACCTTCTTATGCACGTGAAGGAACCTACCAGAGTATCTCAATATTCAGCCAGTGTAATTGATTATGTTTGTACGAACTTCAATGAGTCTGATATCATTGCCCAAGTTATTCCTGCAGGTCTTTCGGACCACGAGGCAGTTACTTTCTCATTTCCAATCGAAACCCTAAACAAAACCAAGAGTAAAAAAAAATATGGCAGAATCTATAGCAAAAAGAATTACGACAATTTCCAAAAATGCTGTGAGGAAACACATTGGACAATAAGTCCAAACCCGACGGAAGCTCTTACGATATTTCATAGTCAATTAACCCAAATTTTCAATGATTGCTTTCCAGTGCAAATAATAAAGAAGTCTCATAAAAAACCATGGATCACAAATGGCATCAGAATATCATCAAAAAATCTAAGATCTCTAAATATGATAAGGAAATATACCAATAGTGACTTTTTCTCAACATATTTCAACAAATACAGAAAGATATATAGGAATGTAGTCAAATGTGCTGAAGGAGAACACTATAAATTCAGATTTGAGAAAGCCAAAAATGTATCAAGGGAGCACTGGAGAGTCGTCAATGACTTGAGGGGAAAGAATAATTCTTTACCAACCCCTATTAATATTGATCCAGTCATCCTTAACAATTATTACTGCTCTGTTGCCGAAAAATTAACATCAAATTTAGAGAGCCAGACTGACCCTCTTAGTTACCTCCAAAATGAAATCCCAAATAATTTCTTCTTTGTACCAATTGATATTCATGAACTAAAAGAAACTCTCAAAATAAGAAATCGGGGGGCATAGATGAAATTTCAGTAAATATTTTCGAAAGTCTATCTGATACTGCTTTATATGTTCTGGCAGAATGTATAAATAAATCATTCGAGTCAGGGTCATTTCCCGCTTTTCTGAAAAATGCTATTGTAATTCCACTTCACAAAGGTGGTGAAACCAACGATCCATCAAATTACCGTCCGATATCGCTGCTATCTACGCTTTCTAAAATCATAGAGAAACTTGTTAAAAAGAGAATGATTAAATACTTACAAAAACATAATATACTGTCGCGATATCAATTTGGATTTCAAAGTTCAAAAAACACAACTGATGCAATTTTTTCATTCCTTGAGAATGTATATCTTAGTCTGAATGAGGGCGAGGTAGTAGCAGCAGTATTCTGCGATTTTTCGAAAGCATTCGATTGTGTTGATCACAGAATACTGCTGGAAAAACTACATTATTATGGATTCAGAGGAGTTGCTCTCAAATGGTTTGAATCATACCTTCTTGAAAGGAAACAAACCGTTAAAATTTCTAACGAAACTTCTGGCTTCTCACATGTCAAATCAGGTGTTCCTCAAGGATCAGTGCTTGGCCCAGTTCTATTCCTATTATACCTAAATGATCTAACTAGCTTACCAATCACGGGAAAATTCACTCTATTTGCTGACGATACTACCCTCCTTTGGCATGGAAAAAATGTAGAAAACCTAAAATTAGTTGTAGCCCAGGAACTCGACGAAGTCAAATCTTGGTGCGATTCAAACTCTCTATGCTTCAATGTGGAGAAAACAAATATTATTACTTTCAAATTTGAGTTTGACAATCTGACATTGGGTACACACCAAGTTGAAAACAGAACAAGTACTAAATTCCTAGGTATACATATTGACAGAAAATTAGGGTTTGAAGAACATGTAACGTCACTAAAAAAAAGATTAGCATCAGGTTGCTATGCCATTAGAGTTGTATCAAATGAGCTTGGCTCTGCTATTGCCAGAAACACGTATTTTTCTCTCATAGAGTCTCATATCAGGTACGGCATAGCCTTCTGGGGTTTTTGTAGCCAAAATTTGTTGAATTCTGTCTTTATTCTACAGAAGAGAGCGATTCGCTATTTGTGTCGGGCTAAAGCAAGGGACCATTGTAGGCCACTTTTTATCAGTCAACAAATTCTCACTCTCACCTGCCTCTTTATTTTGGAAACAGTCTGCTTGATCCACACCAGACACCATTCATCGAACAAAAACCCGGTGAATCATAATATTATGTCCACTAGAAATAACAGTCACCTCTCTCTTCTGCCGATACCGAAGATGACTCGAACAAAAAATTCCATTATATATGAGAGCAAAAAAATCTACAATCACTTGTCAGAACAATTCAAAGGAACTGGCTGCATAAAAAAATTCAGAAAGGAGGTTAAAAAATTCCTTATTCAAAAAGCGTACTATGACCTGCAGGAATATTACAACGAAAAGTTTTGAAGTCATGTATAATTTATTTCTATAATTAATTTCTAGATTCTTTTACTATTATGCTAGGTACCTAGTTGGCGGTGTATGTGATATAAATGTTATGCTTTTAGGGCTTTTTTGTAGTTGTTTTATACCCTTGTATTTGTGTTATTTATTAATTATATCTTATGTTCATATCTTTTATATATTTGTACAAATAATTGGACATAGTGGATCTATCCACATGCTAGTTTCACGCTTTGTCAATAGGAAGAATGTTTCTTGGACAATAAAGCTCAGTTTTGATTTGATTGATTTGATTGATACATTTGCTATCCAATTCGAACAAAATAAATTGAATTTATGTGACATGAAATAATTTAAAACAAAGATTATTGTCGCCGACGGGCTTGAACCACCGACCTTCGTATCACCGCGCAACAACCCTATTAGTTGAGCCACATCACCTGGTAAATTCGTTGGTTACAATAACTTGGGTGAGTGAAGAAGATCACTTCAAAGAGGAATTTGAATTCTAGTATTGTTGTGTCAGACCTCAACAAATTTGCAAACACACATGAAACGTCCAGCCAGAATGAAATTGTCTCGCCTTTCGTACAAAATGTCTCACTAACGCGAATTATAAGTAAATAAAATGAAGTAGGTACTTAGGTTATTGTCTCTTGTGTCAGATTTGAATCCAAAGCAATCTTGACCAGACACGATGTCAAAATTTTATCGCTGATAAACGAGGTTTGTTGGTCACGTGTGGGTCAATTCGGCTTCTGTATTGGTAGAGCAAGTCCGATAAAATTTGATAAACAAAAAATATCGCTAGAATATAGAAGAAACCATGAAAATGGTCGATTCTGATTGGTTCTCGAGATCAAGAGTGGAATAGTCATTAAAAAATAACTAAACTGAAACTCAAGACCGAGCTTAACAGTAAACAAAAACCTTCAATAATATTTTTATAAGTGTTGTTCAAAGTGTCCACTATTACTTTCGATACATTTTTGGGTTCTTGACCGCAACTGTCCTTTGCATACAAATTCAGGTGTTATATCTCTGAAAGCCAAAGTAATTCTCTGCCGCAATTTCTCAACGCTATTAACTCCATTGTGGTAAACTTCATTCTTCAGGAATCCCCATAAAAAATAATCGAGAGGATTGAGACAAGGCGACCTAGGAGGCCACCTCACAGGTCCCAATCCATCTATGAAATTAGTATTCAAGAAATCTTGGGCAAAGGCAGAATTGTGAGCTGCACAACCATCTTGCATAAACCATTCAATGTCCTTTATGGTTGCTAGAGGCAATTCTTTCATAATTTTTGCCAACAAATCGACATAGGCTACTCCAGTTAAATTCCCTTCAATAAATTTGGGACCAATAACCTGGTTTCGAATAATTCCACACTACATATTCAGACTATAACGAATTTGGGGTGTACCTATCTTCCGTTGCATGAAAATCTTTTTTTTTTCCATTGAAAATTTCACACCAAACATTTTCCATCAATTTAAAGCCTGTATTTCGTATCGTTACCATAGCAACTAAACAAATTTCTTGGAAATTTTTTCCTCTTCCTTGGGGGACGGAGCATGAAATTACACTGGAAATTTTTTGACGTTTATAGGTAAAATGACATTTACATTCAACTTCAGATTATTTTGAGTTCATTCTATAAGTCAATAATTAAAAATCATTTATTAACAGTTTACCATATAATATTATGTAGGTATACTTGCAAATTCGAAATTTACAAAAACACATGTTGTTACTATACGTTAGTTCTTACATTTCATCACAAACAACCATCATTTTCAACTTTATCTCATCTAAGTGTTGTTGAAATTCCTTTTTTCAAATATAAAAGCGAACATTCACTAGAACGTATAAAATGTCTATGTTTCATGAAATATATGTAGTACTTTGAAACAATCTTATTTTGTTGTAATCCACGAAGAGCTCCATATTTTTCACACGGCAGAAGCAATTGATTTTTGATAATCCCAAAGAAATTCGGTGAATAAATTATTGCTACGACTATTGTAGATTGGATCGATCGAAAATATATATATTAAACCATAATTAACTTTTCTGTAGAACTTTCATTTAACTAAAGTGGATAACTAAGATATTAGGTCTCCTGGAAATAATAGAGAACTTATTATTATACTATTTTTATATTATTATCATTTTAAATAGGCACCTTTTACATTATTTTCTACCAACTTTAGTTGAATAAATTTGTGAAATACTGGAAGATTGATTTACTACTGACTTATTTTTCTTCAATTTATTTAACTAAAGTCGTTCAAATATATTTTATTCAACCTAATAATATTATGCGCGCAAATTTCACGGATATACTGAATAGTGCTTTGGGTTCCTTGCAGGAAAATATATTTCTACCAACTTTAGTGAACTGAATTTGTGGAAAATTCCAAAAGTCAACTACTATCGATTCATTTCTCATTATTTTGTGTAACTAAAGTAGATTAATTGGGTTTTATTCAACCTAACAATGTTATGAATGTGCATTTTTTCAATAATACTAATACATTTTTATATAAACACTATGATATTATACCTACTCTTCAGTTTTGACATGAAGAATGACATACGCAATTAAAAAAAGCGAGGCTAGGAATTCAGCTAAGGCAGTCAATCTACCTTGCTGCCGAGTTGAACATATAATTTCTTCTCCGATTGTTCATAATGATATAGGAGGATATTGTAATTGCAAATTATTACATTTCCCACAATCTCTTTATTTTTCCTGTAGTGTTCAATTAAAATGAAATTTGATAGAAATCGCAGTTGTCCATGATAATTATAGTTTGACAATTCATGAAAATTTTGATAGTCGGTATATTTAAATTATTATATAATGGACAGTGATAGCGACCTGGAAGTACTTACACCTCCAGAAATAAGGGAGGTGGCAAAACATATAGAGTTGAATTTGTTGCCGGAGAAGTCTTGAATGAAATATGAAGGAAATTATAAATAATTTATGGATTATTAATTTTGCTGATACATATCGATCAGCAAAGTAACCACTTTGCTGCCTAGGCAGGAAAAGTAATACTTTGCTGATTGATATGTATCAGCAAAATTAATATTTGCTGCCATGCTGCCAATCGGAGGAAAAATATATTATTCTTTTGAGTTAACATACAAAGCCTACTATTCAAATGTAAAAACCATCAAAAATCGTCATTATCCAAGTTATTTTTTAATAATATTTCTAGTGTGACATTTTCTTACCGAATACCACTTTGGCTTCAATTAATATCCGGAATTTTTTCTCGAACACGAATATTTAGAAAATTGTCCCTCGTCTTCGACTCGAGAGCATTTTCAAAATATTCGTGTTCTCGAAAAAATTTCCGGAAATAATTGAAGCTCTCGTGATATTATAAGTGAAAATCCCACTATTTGTGAATAATGTTTCATCTATCCATGAAATTGTGTTTCCAAACAATAATTGGTCGTTTTACATTTCTTGGTAGCAATTGCAAAATGTACACTACACAACTTTTTGTATAATTCTCAAACTGCTACTAACATTGTGTTATCCCAATTTGTATTTCAGTCATTGCTCTGGAGTCACTTTACTCGCAGTCCCGTCTGAGGTATACAAGTTCGGAGCTTCCTATTGGCTGGTTACCATTTCTATCCCACTGGTCGCTATCTTAACAAATTGGGTATTCCTCCCAGTGTTCTACAAGCTGCAGCTGATAAGCACCTACGAATATCTCGGCCTCAGATTCGATAAGAAAACGAGGAAGTTATCCTCGTTTTTGTTCGCCGTATCCGTATTCAGCCTGATGCCGGTCGTCATATACATTCCTTCTTTGGCATTATCTGCTGGTGAGTAATAGTTATTTATGTATCAAGGGCGTGAAATAGGCTTTTATGGACCGCAGCGTGTAAGTAATAGACCGAGCGATAGCGAGGGCTATTAGCACGCCTAGGTCCATAAAAGCTAGTTACGCCCGAAATACATACAACATTTTATGCACGACCTGTATATATTTAATATCTCATGTAGGTATCTCTTCACCCCTCAAGCACAATAAAAATACATCACGGTTGTAGTGAGACTGTATTGTATCCATATCGCAAATACAATTAATCAAGAAGTATGGAATCAACGTTACCATGGCAACTCAGTCAATTTTTCGAAATAGGAATTAATAGGCCAGTAGCCATATTAACTGTCAATTTGTGTAATCATACATAATTCATTAGTGATTTCAAAATGAATTCTACTGATGAAGAAAGTGTGAATTGTACTCCACCAGAAATTAGTGAGGCAGCTGAGGAAGCAAAATCGAGTTTATTGCCAAGTAATTCAAAAAAAATATACGACAAAGTATACGAAGAATTCGTAAGCTAATGCGATATGACAGTGACATTAGCTTTACCACCAGCTCAATGACTTTTCGCCCGCCGGGCGGTAATAAAGTAGTCCGCGGGCGGTAAAGTGCCACTTTACGCCCGCAAACCCGGGCGGTAAAGTGCCCGGTCGTGCATAAAAAACCTTTTTTTCGTAAAGCACTCCTTCGAAGTTGAGAATTAACGTCCCAGGAGTCGAAACGTAGGTGGGGTTAGAAAGAGTGAGACCAATATAGCTCATAGTGGAATATGGATAACTTTTAGGTCGCCAAGAGGCTGCCATGTAAGAACTGCAAACCACACATTTTGTTGAAGTTGAAGACACCTTTGATTTTATGATTTATTTCGCTATTAAATTGTGTACAAGAGAGTTGACTAATAGACCTTCAGTAAACAATATTGAATCAGATATTTAAATTGCTGTCAAAGTACTAAGCTTCATCAAGATAAATCTCAACCACTCAGGAAACTGTATTGAAACCCTAGTACCTTGATGCTATAACAACATAGTTTCTTTGCTGTGGGTGCCCGGAAATCAGGGTGTGGTGGGCAACGAGCAACCTGACATCCTTGCCAAACATGAAACCGAATCTGTGTTAATAGGACCAGAACCATACTTTGGTATCTCCACAAGCATGGCTAAACCAACTATTCCGGACTGGTTGGAGGAAAAAAAAAACTATAACGTACTCCAGTCTGAATGGGGAAGTTTCCTATATTGAGGTTTCCATCTCACTGTGAAGTTTGTGAAAAATTAATATGTACGTATTTTTTCTTTTGTTCGTAAGATCAAATTTCACTCCAGAAAAAAATAAATAAAAGAGGAACTTGGCTCCTCCACCATTCCTATGACGTACTTTCTGAAAATCCACGTTCACACAGAGTTAAAATACGATTCTCTGTACCAATACGACGTTGCCGACATCATCAATAGGTCTAGATTTCCGGAAATTGTTATTTGAATGCATAATAACTATATCATAACAGCAATGGGATATAATAGGTTCTTCAATCCCACTTTGTCAAGTATTATGAATAATTCCCATTAATCTCTCATTGGCTGAATGAAGTTGATTACTAATAAAGATGATTTATGATATTTTGCGATAGTATCTATAATTTGTTACTATCGTTATATTACAATATATGTTATTCAAAATTTGTCAGTCAATTTTTTGCTAATGAATTCGTTCCCTAATAAAACGAATCTATTTTCTAGAAAAGTTGCAAGTCATATCTTGCAACAGCGCCTAATACTTCGAGTCCATCCACAGCACTCAAAATACTGACAGGCACAACAAGAGGAAGGAGCGATGGGTGCCGGCTTTATTGTGTTCTGACCGATGGCAGTAAATTAGGAAGGATAGTATCATTGAATATAGCCGATAGTGATTCATTGATTCAATGATATTTCCGTGTAGGATCGAGCTCTATTCAAGATATTTCAATGCATAAATAACAAAACTATAACGTGTCAGAATGAAGCCAACTACCTTCTGCATTCCTGCTCCGAGTGCATTTGTGGTTATGTATGTTTTTGTTTACCAGTTTTACTTCTACTTATATTTTTTTTAATTCGTTTTTCATTCGTTAGCTATTCGCTAGCTATATTCTTCACCATCTGCTATTTTGAGACTAGATTCTGAATGTACGTCACAGTTTGCCAATTAAAAATTACTTATTTTGTGAAAATTCATCTGAAGGAAACTTCCCCATTATCAGGGTTGACTCATTCGAATGCGTTCCTGCCAAAACCATCCAAATATATGACCAGGCAGATCCTAGAATGGGACAGAATATATCATTCTGTTAATTTTGAGCTAGTGATAAAAACTGATTTTATATAATTCTGCGTAGAGGTTGGTTGAATCCCTGCGTGCATCATAATTGACTTATTTTTTTCAAGAATATCTCTATATCTACCTACTTATACTCAAATATATCATTCTGTTGATTTTCAGCTACTGGTCTGGATGTGCACATCATCACCCCAGTGATTTGTGGCATCTGCATTTTTTACACAACTATCGGAGGTCTCAAAGCTCTGATATGGACTGATACCGTTCAATTCTCTCTAACAGTGGTTGCCATTTTGACTATTATGACGCTTGGGTTCAAAGAATCTGGAGGTGTGCTGAATGCATTCCAGAAGGCCATTGACGGACACCGTCTTGACATATTCAAGTGAGTACCTATATTGCTTTCAACGATCCCTTTAAATATCTACGGGAAAGCTTTCTTTTGGGATGGTTAACTCCGGGAATGAATATATCAATATTGAGTATAGGGATTCTTGCGACGATGGTAACAGACCAATTTGGGATCATCAAATAAAAGCAATTGCAGAATGGATTGAATCATCGGAGCAAGCTACTGCGATTTTTTCACTACCTTCATTCTTGTTTGTTTGCCATGACAATAAAACTTGCATACAATTAAACTTGTATCTATCGATAAAAACATTATCTATTATGTAAATACTAAATTGTTCTAAAATTGTTCTGTCCGTCATTCGGTTGCCCCCTTACGAGCAACCCTCAAAAGTCTTCGAAAGTCTTGTGCGAGCAAGGAATGACGGGGGCCTTACCTTTCAAAGTGTGATCCCAAACACTTTCTTGGGCCAACAGAAAAATTTCTGCAGTCGACGGGGATCGAACCCACGACCGGCAAGCGAATGCGAATTAGAATATAGACACTCTGTCCGCACGGCTACCTGGCCACTCCTACAATACTTTCGATAATATCGATCCAGTATTGGCTGGATTATAGATAAACAATTATTAAAATCGAACTCACTAAAATAATATCAAGCCGTTTTTGGCATGTGAAAAATCTTAGCATGATCTGGAAATTGAAATTATTGTTTGCATAAATATGTGCTAGCTCAGATATTTTGTTTCTTCTTCTGCTGCAATTACTCCATATTGTGGACACGCTTGTCACCACTGATATTTCCGAATGATCCTCATTCTCAGATAGATGTAGAAAGTCAAATGATGTCATCACGTCCTATTGAAATGACTTTCGAAATCTCTCGATATCGCCTACTTTGTAAAAATAGCGGGGCGTGGGGAAAATCTTGCTAAAGTTTCAAACCAAATTTAGAGGCATCATCACACGTTCATTTGAGTTCACATTTCCATTTTCACAATTCTTTGTTCAAATGGGAATGATGCGTCATATTTTCGACTTTCAATGGTGAATTCATGAACGACACGAAGCCCTAGCCCAAGAAAATCCTGTGATTTCGTATTTCGGATATTCAAATAATCTTCACACATTGCAGCAGTCAGTCCATGATGAAAGCGCAGTACACTCACCCAACTAACAATGAAATATCAATACCTGCTGAATAAACTACTATAATGCAAAGTTATTAAATGTATATACCAACTAGATTACTTGGAACCAACAAGAAATCTTTATAAGCCTAGGCAATTGTTAGATATTAACTCCATTTACAAATTCAGAATATTAAATTTCATCCATTCCGTCAAATATAATTATAAACATTCAAATCTGAATTTTGAAGTCAATAGTAATAAACACGAACACATAAACAGACAAAAAGATAATATATGTTATAGACCGTTGGCCCATAACACTAGGGGTGTCGATTATCTACGAAGGTATGCCCTTCAAGAGACATGAAGATTGAGTTGGATTATCGGGAAAAAAGTGGTTAGTTGGATCGGTACCCGGTCGCCCATCTCCCTAATCAATCAACTTCCTGTTGAAAGTTATGTTGAAAATTGTATTATAGAAGAAGCTTTAAAATTCATTGGAATAGTCGCATCTCGCCAAATTAATTGGGCGCTAGCCGATTTGCATACGTCTAGGTCGGTCCCGAAGGGCGGCATACGGACCGCAAGTTACCATTAACCGACATTTCTCTTAGATTATTTACGATGGTATGCCCTTTGGTTAATTCCTTCATTTCGACCCATGAATCAATGCCATAACATTTGCATACAGTTTGGGTGGGCGAATTTAGACATATTCGAAGGTCACTTCACATCATCGATTATATATATCAAGATTATATAATTTTGTATGCCATTCAATCAGGTGATAGATTCAGTTATACTGAATAAGAAAATAGCGTTTGCATACGAATGTATTGTGAGCATACGTCGATTTTGCTATGGGGAGTATATTTTTTTCAGTTTTTTTAATATTAAAAAGTTGAAACTGGAAATTCCAGGATGATCGAGTGCCAAGGGCTCTCAGGGAGGTTTCGGGGTCACTGAGCTCGAATTTGGCATGTATGCCGTCACCATATTTACAAGAAGTACTTTTACTAAGATGGGTTGAACTCTGCTGGGATCACTACACTAAACTTGGCCAACTATGAATGATCAGATATTCTAATTATTTTCCGCTTTTATAATTGAACTTAGTTGGATACTGATCTGTGTAGCCAAATTGGTCAATTCATGAATATTTTTTTAGGTTTTTTAGGTTGAAGGGTGTTGTGAGGAATCAACGATTCATTTTTCTCCGTGTATACGGTGTTCTCCAAGGTAACGAATTTGGAGCCAAAGGCGAAATCAAAGCTTTTCACAGGGTGATATGTGGTTTGAGAACAATAAATCGAATGAGTAGGTACACAGGTAACAGAGTGGAGCTGTGTGCCAGTTACTCGAAGGCTCGGGCCGCCCGGTCAATAAAAGTGTAACTGAAAATTGATTCATAGCTTCCTTGAGAGAATATTTCCAGAAATCACAAGAACAAAACTTGAGATATCGCATTTTTGCGGTTTTTTCCTTGTATTTCGTTTCCTTTATGTAATACGTCACCCTGTAGATCAAGATCAAAATTTAAAAAAATACATATTTCTTCAAGTTTTGAGTTGAAAATATATTTTATTAGTTTTTAGGCCAACTCTATAACGCTTTTGTACTGCCATCCTGAAAAAACTTTTTTTTCACGAGTACTTGCATAATTAATAGTTGCAACTGTAAATTAGGAAGGGGAAACTTTTTTTTACACATCCCCTAATTTACAGTTGCAACTGTGAATTAGGAGATGTTTTGAAAAAAAAAAGATTCTCCTTCCTAATTTACAGTTGCAACTGTGAATTAGGAGATCAACAGTAAATTAAGCAAATATCCGTGAAAAAAAAAAGTTTTTTTAGGATGGCAGTTCAGACGCGTCGTACAGGCATAATAATTAGTTTCTTAGTGGTTTTTGAACCAAAAACTGATTTTTCGAAACTTCGACCTCGAATAACTCGAAACGGGTAAATCGGGACAAGTTTTGTGTAAGTTCTAAAGTTAGAAAAAATTTGATTGTCGATATCTTGAGCTCTTACAGGGTGTTGAACGAATTTTGCCGCCATTTTTGCTAATTTTATTGGGCTAAATGTAATCCCGCAACTCGCAAATCGTATGCAAATCATTATTCCATGCATAGTTTATGCTTAACTAACCTTGATCAAAATTTGGGAGCTTCGTAGATAATCTTGTACATACAGGTCAATGATGTGAAGTGACCTTCGAATAAGTCTAAATTCGCCCACCCAAACTGTATGCAAATGTTATGGCATTGATTCATGGGTCGAAATGAAGGAATTAACCAAAGGGCATACCATCGTAAATAATCTGAGAGAAATGTCGGTTAATGGTAACTTGCGGTCCGTATGCCGCCCTTCGGGACCGACCTAGACGTATGCAAATCGGCTAGCGCCCGGTTAATTTGGCGAGATGCGACTATTCCAATGAATTTTAAAGCTTCTTCTATAAAACAATTTTCAACATTACTTTCAACAGGAAGTTGATTGATTAGGGAGATGGGCGACCGGGTACCGATCCAACTAACCACTTTTTTCCCGATAATCCAACTCAATCTTCATGTCTCTTGAAGGGCATACCTTCGTAGATAATCGACACCCCTAGTGTTATGGGCCAACGGTCTATTACTCTGATCAAAATTGGATCAGATATGGGCATGGGCGCCGCTAGTAAAAATTCCAGGGGGGGGCGGTTTTTTCAAATTTAAAGAATTAATTGTACTATACTAGATATAAGTAATAGGTAAAATCGAAACCCTTTTGACTCATTTTCACTACCAGTGTGGTTTGAAGAAATTGTGAAGAGGATATAGGTAAAGTAGGTTGGGTAGGTCAGTTGATAAGTAAAACAAGGAATTAAAAAAAAAATCAATTTTTTCGAAACAAAACACCTACATTAAAACAAAAATATCACAAAAATAAAAGCTGAAAGACCCAAATTCCAAATCGATGGCCTTTTGGAATACATGTCCCATCAAAATATAATAATAGCAAATCTAAATCAAAACTCTTTGGTAAATACCTATATAAAATAAAATACAAATAAACTCCATATTCAAAATGCACTTGTAAATACTGATATGGCAATATGCATGTAGGCAACAAGAATATAAATAAAACAATGTTTCTTTCGACCAAAATAAAAGCAAAAAAAAAATGAAATTGAAAAATAAAGATACTGCACTGAGGGCAATCCTAGTCTACTCGTCAAAAAGGAATTTTAAATTTCTTTTTTCCATGCCAAACAAATCAATGACCTTATTAATTATTTCAAGCTTATTGTTATCAACTCATATTCTGTGTATACTTATGAGAGCCAGTCCAGAAAGACGGTTTTCGCTCATAGTTGATCTGAGCCAACTTTTCACTCTCTTGAGAGTACTAAACGATCGTTCAATCGAGCATGTTGTAGGAGGCATAATAACAAAAAATTTCAAACAAGTTTTAATGTTAGGAAAAAAATTACATTCATTATTTATTAGTTCAGTCATATCTCCTGAAAACTCTTTTTCCTTCCACACTTGCTGCCATGTGCAATATTCCGCACTTAAATTATCAACTCCAAATTGGTTTGAAATATCTTCCAACTGATTTTCACAAAGAATAATTCCCTCTCTAATGATAGCAGGATGAAACTGTGATAGAGAGAACGCAGCTGTTTTATCAGAGGAAAACCGAGTTTCCAGAGATCTTATGACTGAATCTAAATAAGGAATGAAAATAGAAATCATAAAATATTCATCTGGTGATTTGGCCTGAATATTTGATCTGTTATTTTGACGTGAAACTATTCGAGGAATTTTAATGTCTACATCTAGTTCGTTCGAAAATTCGATACATTTTTTGAATATATTTGAAAAAACAGACTTTGCATTTGTTCTGTCACTTTTGAAGATGGTGATTAAGGTATCAACATGACATTTCACGGAAAGCAAATCTATAGAAACTCCTTGCCACTGGCTCCAATAATGATGAATACTTTGCAATGATATTTAGAGAGATAATGAACTGGGGTGAGGATACTGCGGATAAAAGTTGTTGAGCTTTTGACCTTGTTTTGGCATTGAAATTTCCATCTACTGACATATTTTGTAATGCTGTTGTGATAGAAATGAATTTTTCAAAGAAAAGCCTTATCGATTCATATTTTGCTGACCACCTAGTCTCACACAACAACGGCAAGTTAGAAACCGTTGCCCGCCTTTTTGGGCTATCTCTGAAAAAAATTATTGTTTCCTTAATGACGCCTACAGAGTTTTAGACAACTTGAACAGAATTCAGGTCATTGATGACGAGATTGAGTTTATGGGATGAACAATGAAAAAAGGTTGCTTTGGGATATTCATTTCTTATTAGTTTATAAGTTTATCGCGTCTTGACTGAAAAAGCTAAAATCCAGGGGGGGGCGGCTGCCCCCCCTTGCCCTCAAGTAGCGGCGCCCATGGATATGGGTAAAAGATCTATTTCATATAATGGAACAATTCTCTATAATGAATTACCTGCCAACTGAAGAAAAAATTAAGTGTTGAGAAATTCAAAAAAGAACTGAAAAATACTTATGTCTTTGATTATCTTATATCACCCTAAATCAATTCAAGAACTTATATTCAACAGTCTCTAGAAGAAACAACATTATATGTACTATATGTATATGATTTGAAAATGATTATCTGATTATCTATTTTTTTTTTCAGTTGCTCTTTCATAATTTTTCCTTCTATAAACATATATGTTTCTTGGGAATAATAAAGATTATTTAATTTATAATATTTCTGTTTGAAATTTGATGATTAGGGTTGAGTGGAAGAGCAGCTGTCGATTTATCGGCGAGTTGAACTCTGCCTTTTGTTTCATTGAGACAATAAAAGCATTTATTATTATTATTATAATTATTATTATTCGATCTCTTTCGCGTCCTGTTTCTAGATGCATCTTATCACCTATCATTGAATTCGTGCATCATCGAACGGGAATCTTCAGGTCCCGAAAGAAGGAAACGACATCCTTGAAAGCCTAGTTCAACTTCATAATCTTTCAAGAAATTGTCTATCGTTCACGCCATCTATCATCGAATATAAGAACCCCACGTTCCGAACTCGCATTCAGTTGTTCATATCGAGAGCTATAGTCTGAAGAAATAATTGAAGTGTGGGCACACCAGAGAAACATCTCAATTCTCAGATTCCAAACGTCAGCTCTGAAAATTGAATAGGCGTCCCCGCGGAAATGTTTTCTAATAAATTATGTTCGGTAACGAATTTCCAAAACTCTATGAGAATGATGGTTAACATACAGGGTGTTTGGTAGCTGGGTGCAAACCTTGAAGGGGGTGATACACTAGCGCATGTAGAACATATTCATACAAACATTTTTATTTTTTAGCGCGTTTTTTATTTTTAAGGGAACTTTTGCGATTTTTAGTACAAATACCCAACATTTATCAATTAAATGCTAATAACTTCTAATCTTATCAGAAATGTCCGGTTTTGTTCATTTATTTTAGTAGTCTTATGTGTCCCCAATCGTACTAAAGTAGTCTGAAGCACCATTGTGTCCAAAAAAGTTATGTACAGAGCATTTAAACTTTTCAAAAAAAGAAAGAAAATAAAAATTCTGACCTTTGATGCCAATTAAAAAAATAAATAAAATACATACAGATGTTCAGACACTTTTAAAAACATGCGTAGTTATTGCTCTTTCGTTTGAGGTATCATTCATCTAGCTAAATCCTGAACTTTTTAAATTAGGGTACCTGAACCAGTTAAAGGTCGTAAATATAGATTTTTTTGGAATTAAAGAAAAAAATGTTTTGTACTGTAAAAATGTATTGTTGGTGTTCAAAATGTCCTCCACCATTGCGTATACACTTTCTACAACGATTTCGTACTTCAGTTGTGGTTACTTTCATTTGCATTTCCTGTTTCATAATTTCAAACGCTGCCTCTATTCGCTGAAGTAATTCTTCTTTCGTGGTGATTTCTGTTTTTTATAAGAGTTCTTTCACCCGACCCCACACAAAAAAAAATCCAACGGAGTCAGGTCGGGCGATCTGGCAGGCCAGGGGATGGGTCCGTCTCTCCCGATCCAGTTGCCAGGAAAACAGTGGTTCAGGTGTTCGCGGACGCTTACAGCCCAATGTGCTGGGCATCCATCTTGCTGAAATGTGATCGGCCTGTCCATGTCCAATATTGGCACTTCGGCATCATCAAATTGTCAGGCAGAATGTGTGGGCCAACCAATGTGCGTCCGATGACCCCAGCCCACACATTTATTGGAAATTTTATTTGGAAAGGAATTTGAAACAAAAATGCAATAAAATTAGTTAATTTAGGTAATTGAACATGTGTAAAATAATAATAATAAAAATCATTTATTTAGCTTGTTTGGCCAACCAAATCGACCCGGCGAGGGGTCCAAGATGATTACTCAACTCAGGTACCTAAAAATTGATAAACTCAGAAGCAACTTCATGGCCCCAGCAATAACGAAAGAATGCATTCCAATTAATGACTAACTTCAGGTCAAATTCTTTGTTGTAAAATGCCACCGCCACCGGTTGGGATAAGTTTCTCATTATTCCATGTAAGTCTAAAAATAATATCGCATATTGCTTCAGGATTTCTGTTTAAAGGTTTTCGAGCTAAAATTCATTCAAATTACTTTTTTTTAAATCTTTCAAATATCTATATTTACAACCCTTAACTGGTTCAGGCACCCTAATTGAAAGAGTTTAGGACTTAGCTAGATAAATGATACCTCAAACGAAAGAGCAATAACTATGCATGTTTTTAAAAGTGTTTGAACACCTGTATGTATTTTATTTATTTTTTTAATTGGCATCAAAGGTCAGATTTTTTATTTTCTTTCTTTTTTTGTAAAGTTCAAATGCTCTGTACATAACTTTTTTTGACACAATGGTGCTTCAAACTACTTTAATACGATTGGGGACACATAAGACTACTAAAATAAATGAAAAAAACTGGACATTTCTGTTAAGATTCGAAGTTATTAGCATTTAATTGACCAATTTTGGGTTTTTGTACTAAAAATCGTAAAAGTTCCCTTAAAAATCAAAAACGCGCTAGAAAATGAAAATGTTTGTATGAATATGTTCTACATGGGCTAGTGTATCACCCCCTTTAAGGTTTGCACCCAGCTACCAAACACCCTGTATATTTGAGTTTCCCAAAGACGAGTTGTCATTTCAAGTGTTCGTTAAAGCTTCAAATTCCCATATTCATTTCACGGAAATAAATCAATTGACATCATAATAATATTGATATAACTTCACAATGAGCATAATGTGACTTTGGTGTTACGCCAATGTTAGGGTTGAAAAAAATAATATATGTTCAAGGAGAAAAATGGATTCCATCTCTTATAAAACATGTTTGTGCCTCATGTTTTTTGTTCAGCTTTTTAAAAACAGGACAAGTGTGTTCACACTCTAAGGAGCATAAAATGATATGTTCGAGGCACTCTACTCCATATTTCTTTTTTCTGTAGATATGAGGATTCTGTTTGAAACGATGGTATTTATATTTCGATGTTCATAAAAAAGGTCTCTTATTAATATTTCAGATTCGATTTGGACTTCACAGATCGAGATTCATTTTGGTCAATGTTATTTGGTTTCACCTTTCACTGGGTGGCTCACACAAGTATCAATCAGGGGTGCACACAAAAATTTCTCTCTGTTGCCACATTGAAGGAGTGCAAGTGGTGAGTAGATACTAACATGAGAACAAACCATCTAGCAGAAGTCAGAGTATTCACATTCGAATCCAATATCCTGGTCCACCTCGAATAACCGAAGAACTTAACAATTTTCTTCCAATTTATGAGAGGAAATAGAATAGTATATGCTCAACTCTGCCCTACATGCATCCCTCCTCCTACCTCCACATTCTTTGAGTAGTTGTATTAGCTATTGTTACATGCCTATGCTCATGGTCGCAATTTCATGTTTTATCCCTTGATATTGTCTTTGACTTATGTCAATGTCTTGCCTACCTCATTACTTGACATTATTTTCAGTGTTTTCTAACCAAATTAGTTTAGATTTAAACACGTGCTGGCTGTTTGCCCCATCAATTTCATTGATATTTTCCTGAAGTCGCGCTTTCATGAGGGCACGGGAACCTCCTTTTTTAATAAACTCGTTAATTTATGGTGTTGTCAAAAAAAACCTTTTGGCAATACTCTTCATATACCATTTTGGTATATGACGTTTCAATGAAAATGATGGTATGCGCTCTCAGGGCACGAAGCCCTTTATTCATTGAGAATCCGTTTTTTCTTTAATAATTTGATTCTTCGACTATGGACATTGACAAAAATTCCACAACTAGTAGAAACAAACATTTTTTCAACTTCAAGTAAGTTAAGCACAAATTAGGAAATTCCTTCTCATCAACCTTTTTTTGTATTTTAGAACTTTCTAATTGTGAAAGGCTGAAGATGGTTTTTTATAAGACAGAAACATGTCCCTTATGATAATGTAACAACACCACTGGAATTTGTGGAGATGACTTCGAGCATCATTCCTTTCTTTGAAAAAGTATATTGGTTAACGAGCACGGAATGATAGTAATGGCATTCCGTGCGAGTTATGCACTACACATTTTCTACTGCTGTAACAGACTGCAAAATTCCTGATTTCTTCGGCTTGTGTAGCCATCTGATTTTCTCTTAAGTAATGCTCATCTATTAGAGACAGCTGTCATTGCTTGAAATGTGACATTTCATGGGAGATTAGATTTTTCGAAATGATAACACAATGAAGTCATCATGATATCGGATACGGACATGAATTTGATGACATATAAAGTAGGTATAGTCATGTATTACCTTCCTCATTGAATTATCGAACACAGTAGCCGTAAAAAAAGTCATATTTTCCTTTGTAACAGCCTACCTATATGCCGGCAGTTAACAAAATAGTGACTATTATGGTTATCAAGTTGATCTGATTAGGAGTCTTGAATGATGATACAGTAATAGAGTTAATTTTTGTTTTCTCTGCTTATCAAAAACTGTGCGGGTTCCAACAGTTGTCTTTTTCATATGTAGAGAATAACAATAACAGTTCATTGACAACCCTTTCAAAAGTGTTTATTTTTTAAAACAAGAAAACATTTCGAAAATGTTCATCGCCATTAATGGTTTTTTTACAAAATATTGCATCATTACAATAAATAATATCACATGAATTATACTCCAACGCCCTATGAGAAGGTGGGCAGCTCTTGATGGAAAACGAAACAACAAATGAACGGAGTCAACAAACAAGTGCAGCCCATCCTTTGCAGTTTCACCGTACTGATGAGGGCCGAAAGCCCGAAACACGTGTATACGGTTACCTCTTTGTGAGGCCTATGTCCAATTATCTCCTTTCCTTGTCACTTTACATTTACCTCGATATCACTGCCATCTTATTATTATTATAAACTAATCAACTTTCATATTTCAGGCTTGTAGTTATTTACTGCCTATTCATGGTGATAATAAAGTCTACTAGTGTTATCAACGGTCTCCTGATATACAACAAATTTGCCGAATGCGATCCACTTGCCTCTGGAAGAATAAAAAATAATGACCAGATTTTGCCTTACTACGTCCTGAACGTAGCTGATAGTATTCCTGGACTTTCAGGATTGTTCCTTGCTGGAGTCTTCTTCGCTTCATTGAGGTATGATTTTTCATTCTTACTAACTGAAGAAATACAAAGTATATGAAAATGATAAATTATTTATTTATTAACGGACAAGCCAATTATGCAATTTACAAATGTTAAGAAAGTATAAAAATACAGAGCACGTACATATTATTAAATCTATGAAGAAGACTAACACAAAAAATGTAGAAGGCTAAAACGAATTGGAAGATAAGGATTATGAAATAAGTGATTAACAGTTTTTTATCGCTTTCCTGAAAGAACATGAAGATGAATTGAACAGTTAAATTTGGTAATTGTGTTTATTTGCTGATTTCATAATTCTATTCATGGATTCATTTTGGCCATAATTTATCCTATAGAATGATTTCTAAAAAATGGCACTATTTCTGTTTCTTCTAGTATTTGCGGAAAGCGTAGTCAGAGCAACACTTTTAGGAGAATCAATGTAGCCATTGATAATTTCATGGAGGAATAATCAACGTATTCATGTTTATAAAATATCTAATATTTGTGGATAGCTATATTCATCCCTATTGAATCCCATGTGATATGCACAACTTCTTAAAAATTCATTTTGACAACCCTCTAAGAGATCAGAATCAACTTTGTAAAATAACCTCACCTGTGCACAATAGATAATTTTAACAGCATTAACAGATAGTTCTTTAGCAGAATGAAGGGAAAAGAGTAGCATTTTACGAGCATGTTCGAAGGTAATTTTCGAGTTGAATATTACTCCTGAGTCTTTGATTCTATTGGTTATACTCATAGATTAGTGTCATTAACTCTGTGAATATGATCAATAGCATCATGGCCTCGTGAAAAAATTAGATCAGTTTGAATCGCGGCACGTTCGCAAAATAGACATTTTTTCTTTCATTTGCTATTTGTTTCTACTCGTTATCACATGACGAAAGTATGTCCGGAATAATAGCGGCAAATAAATCGCTGTGTCGTGGATTTGGCTCAGACTGAGGGGTGGCACAGGTATAGGTATTGGAAATCTACCATTCAATTGGTATGGAATGGCATAATTCTTATATCGCTTTCAAATCGCGAAATTGGATGCAAATTTCTGCAAAAGCTTTGCCGTTCTATACACAGACAAAATTTGGAAACGTGTTGTTCGACATATTCATTGGGGTTTGAGGGTGTCTGACAAGGGGTAGCCACCATGGTAAGTGTCTGGCAATGGATGACGTGACTACTTATATTATCCCGAAGAGAGTTTGAAAAAAATAAACTTTATAATTTGACGAAAGTAAGTTGGTATTCCTGGCTGTGTTGAGAGCATGCGCTAAAGAACTTCCAGCTAAGGCCCGTATTTATAGTCGCTCCTCAAGGACCAGTAGCCAATTTATAGTCGTAATATCAGCTCGATGGAAGCCTCAAGGAAACGACAATTCCAAGGAAGGTCCAATTCTAGTACTACCTATTTAAGGTTATGTTATGAATTCCATGAATGGAAGTATGAAATTGAATGTAGTAAACAAATGAATTTCATGTCTTGAAATTCGTACTGAGAATCTGATTTGACTATTTATTTCCAGTAGAAGCTAATTCAAGATTAGTTGAAAAATCTTCTTTATTTCAAATGATAAAAATATTATATATTAGAAATAATGAGAACTCATCATAAATTCATCTTGATGATTTGTTCATAAAATCGAAATATATACTTTTTCAATGAACAACTACACAAAATCACAGATTCATATATTTTTCCTGTCCCTGGCATATTATTTCATTGCAGCTTGAAAGAATCCGTTTTCAATAGAGTAATTTTTGTACCTATTATAATTTTCCACCATCGTCATCGATAAACTCTTCGACCCTTTCTTCATTCTGCGGAACCTTGGATATATTTTGTCTGTGATCGAAGTAATATATTGTTAGGCCCAATTTGAACCAACCATTGAAGATTATTACTGGATTATTAGAATCTTTCGATGTCCACACTCAACAGTAAACATTGTCAAACTTGTCATTTTTTATTTTGTGACAAACACGTGACATGAAACAACAAATTTGGTCATAATGCACTAAAATTATATACTGTTGCTAAGTGTAAGGGCTTCTTCTAGAAGGAATATCCAAGGGAGGTTTAAACTCAAGCACTGAGGAGTCCTCAAGGAATCCTCAGATGAGGAAGACTTGAGGAGTTCTTGAGGAAAAGACTATAAAAACGGGCCTACACAATAACGTATCAAATGAGGTCTGGCGTTCATGGGCTCTTGCTCTATAAGTGAAATGGTCAATTTCTGTTCTCAGTTCATTCTCGGGCAATCTGAACAGTTTGGCCGGCACCATATACGAAGACTTCTTGAAAAACACCTTGGAGAGGAAGGGCATCAATAAAACGACCTGCGTTCTCAAGTTGCTAGTGGTCATCATCGGAGTAATCAGCGTGCTCATGGTGTACATCGTGGAACGTCTCGGGGGGCTGATGGCGATCTCGATCGCCCTTGGGAGTGTGGCGCACGGTCCTCTTCTGGGGATGTTCTGTCTCGGTTTGCTCTTTCCTAGGGTTAGGGCGAGGGTAAGTAAGCCGATTTTTTGGTGGTGCAACTTATCCCTAGTCCAATCGAATGGTATTTGCACGTGGAAAAAATTCGACTAGTCGGTTTTAAGGTATGTTCATGCTTGTACGAATTCCGCAAAGTTTATATGCGAATAAAATGGCGGCTGCGAATATCGCAATGAAGTTGAAATATTTGAACTTTTTTACGAATCCGGATGAAATCATAAACCACACAGTATGCATAAAATGTGTTGTTATTTTGATAACATCAAAATTGGGAAATCAGGGAGAGGACAGCAGAGGCCGAAAAAAGAAGACACTAGACTACAGGTAAGTAGATAGATAGATAGATAGATAGATAGATAGATAGATTTATTGTATTGAAAGAATTACAATTCTTATTACAAGGGTTGGGTGATCTGTGATTAATAATACATGAGAACTAATAGCTAAAACAAACAAAAATCCTTCCTGCGGGACCTAGATAGGCATTGAAACAATAATTGATATGCAAATTACTCATTCACAGCAAAAAATCTAAGCTTCAACAAATTGATCAGAACCTGTACTAGGAGTTTCAAGTCAGCTAGGCCACCGTAATTCAGAAGATATATTAAATCATCAAGAGATTCAACGTCTTGAAATAATCGACAATCCCTGATACCAGCATAAACTGGACATTCAAAGAGAATGTGTTCCAAAGATTCCGGTCTGTGGAGATTGCAAACAGTGCATTCTTCTTCAGTATTTATTCCATACACTATTCGATTGAAGGTAATTCTAAAGAACGACTTACTGCATGTCCTTAGTTGAGCGATAATTCTAGTTATATAGATGGGAACGGGCGCTTTGAGGTAATTTTGAACATTTACCCGTAGAGAGAGACTTTTATAAATGAGAGGATACGAAGATTGGCTCAAACTATCTAAATCAATGCTTAAAAGTTCATTGTTGAATTTGTGCAGAAGAGAAGTTATAGCTTTCTTGGAACTATTGAGCAGAAACTGTTGCCAACGATCGACCATTCCGGCAAAAGAGAAGTATTGTTTGACCTGCAATACCCAGTTGTATTTAGGATCAACGTTATCGAGTCTGAGCAATCTTAAAAAACAGAGCTTTGGTAGTCGATGGTTGTCCATTGAGTTGAGAAGTGCAAAATGTGAAAGAGCAGCAGTGAAAATCAGATGAGAAAGTTTTAATGAGGAAGTTTCCAGACGAACAATATAGTCTGGAGTATTTTTAGGGAGTGAGAGTAAACGTTTGAAAAAATTAACTTGAATCCGTTCTATAACGTCAACATAACGACTACAGGTAAGTACAGAATTACAATTAAAAATTTCATCATTTCTTCATTCGATTAAATTTTCTTCGCAGGATGGTTACTCTGGACGAATTCGTTTCAATGTATCATTTATATCGTCTCTATAGAGCTAATGATGTATCCAGAAGCAAAAAAAGGAGCTGAAGTCTGTAGTGTTCGAAGCATTTTTAAATGCCGAAATAGGTATGGAAATTATTACAGCCTGGTTCGACTGAATGACCTTAATAAATATTTCAATCACTTTCGTGTAACGTGCTGATAGTAAATACCCCTTTTAACGACGGCAGTATTTATTAATATAACCAAAATACATAAAATATCTCTCTCACGCACAGATTCAACCTTTCGATGATTGACAACCGAATTAATTAATTATCTTTCAAAAGTGACATCCGCTCTCAAAATGCCAAAATACGGGATGTTGTCGATGATATTGAATAAAATACCTAACACTCGGCCCTTTCTGACACTATGAGTGTCCTCACTCATCCATCTCTCATTCATCATAAGAAAATAAATCAATTCGCAGATTGATTCTAACAACTACAACTATAACTAACAGTGCCAATAAAATAGCACAATTCTCAGCACACAGGCCGGTTTAACTATAATCTAAAATTCGTCAAATCATTCCAATACAAAATCAAGTAAACGATTTGGCAATTTAGTAACACGCTTGGGCCTTTCTTTGGCCCGCACATCAACTTCACTACACTTGTCTTCTTCATTTTCCTCTTGTTCTTGTTTACTTTCTCTTCTTACCTGTAGTTGCTCGTCTTCGCTAACTACAGCGTGATAGTCTTCATTTTCTTCTATACCTCCGTTCTCTTCTTGTCGAAACTCATCTTCTCTTCCTGTACTTTCCTCATCTTCTGATTCTTCATGATTTGCATATGATTTCAATTGTGAAACATGTGCAGTGGTAACGAACTTTCGACCAGAGTCCAGGCTATGTAAACGATACGTATCACTGGGTAATATTTCTATAACTCTATATGGTCCTTTATACTTTGGTTTCAACTTATTCGATTCACCCGGTATTGTTTTTGTACCCCGAACGAATAGTATTTCTCCGACATCATAATTCAATCCAATGAATCGATTTTTGTCGTACCGATCCTTGTACTTTTTCTGTTCTTCAACAATTCTTTCTCTTATTTCCGTTTGTATTTCTTCAGCTGGAGTCCACTCTATTTCTGCTACTCTTGCTGCCAATTTATCTTTTCCAAAACTAGGTAGATAACCATGGAGTACTTCGAATGGACTTTTTCCAATCGTTTTATTATGGAACGTGTTCAGGCTCTTCTCTGTTTTATCCAAAATATTGTCCCATTTGTCTTCACTTTCTACAGTAGTAGCCATTGCAGACAAAAGAGTCCGATTAACTCTTTCTACCTGCCCGTTTGCTTGAGGCCAACGACTAGAATTGAGCGTATGGTGAATATTCAGACCTCTACAAAATTCACCAAAATCTTTCGAAGTGAAGTGAAACAGGTTCCTCGATCTGTAACCAACAATTTCGGAATTCCAAACAATCCGAAGAAGTTCTCAAACTTTTTGATGTTGATTCTTGTTGATGTATCTTTCACAGCATACAACTTGACATATTTTGTTAATGCGCATACAATCAACAAAACATAACAATTACCTCTTTTCGATTTCACGAAAGGACCTAGATGATCGGCATGAATCCTTTCAAATGGTCTCTTTGGAGGAGATATTGGATGCAGTTCCCCTGGCTGCCTTCCTGCTGCTATCTTATTCTCTATACATGGAAAACATGCTCTTATGTGATTCTTGATATATTTCCTCATTTTTGGAAACCAGTATATTTTCTGAATACGTTTCAATACACGATCTAGTCCAAAGTGTCCATCCATATCGTGATATTGCACCACTATGCTTTTCCTCATGTTTTTCGGAATCACGAAAATATACTTATTGCCTCCATCCATTTTTATTTCTTTAACTAATCTACCCTCAATTAAAGAATATCCTTTTACCTCGTTTCTCTGTTCAATACTTCTGTTGTCTTCTTCTATAGCCAAAATTCTTTTCAATCTTCTTATATTTTCATCTGCATTTTGAAACGTAGTGACTTCGTCTTCAACAGTAATCGTGAAAATATCATGAATTTCATCTAGATCATTTTGAGTATCGGATGCAACTAATACTGGAGCTCTCGACAAAGCATCGACATGACCCATTCGCAGCCCCTTCCTGAATTTAATGTCGAAATCAAATTCCTGCAATGTATAAAACCACCTAGCAACCTGGCTACTCTGATTTTTCTGTAAATTCATGTAAACTATAGCTTGGCAATCGGTGTACAAGGTGAATTTCAATCCAATCAGATAATTACGTAACTTGTTTACACACCACGCTATAGCCATCAATTCAAGCCTCGATGAATGATATTTAGACTCGACGTCACTTGTTTTTTTAGATACGTGTAACATGTGATTTTCCTTTTTTACCTTTATTATATGGGTTTGTTATTAAGTTAACCAAGAGTAACACCCAGTATAGTATGATGATGTAAGATACTCAATAGATTATGTGACTGCAACACTTTACATTTTGTTATGGTAGGTGGATTGAATATCCTGTTGGCGTTGGACCTTTTGTAAGCTGAACTTGAAGATTCCTTTGTCTTCCTGGTGTGACTGTCTATTAGTTTCAGGGTTGTATTTTTCAGGTGTCCATAGCAGTGGTGTTGATCTGTCCTTCTTCCTAGCTGTAATGATAAATGATTTACATTTCCAGTTGCTGTTGACTGATTGAATGGATAAAAGTTGAAATGCACAGTTTGACAAACCTGTTGGAAAATGATATGTCCTTGCTGTTTTCAATTTAATTATGGATCCACAGGAAGTTATATTTGAAGTAGTTGTAATTGTTTATATTCGTATTTCAGTTTCAGTCTGACAGTTTAATTGGTTATGTGGATTGTTAGGTTATTTCGCTTCGTCCATAGCCTTTGTGAATCTATAACCTTCTTCTTTTATTTTCGGCCTGCTGGCAACATTTTTGGTTGGACCAATGTTACTATAGTTCTGTGTCAGACCTGACTTCACAATTCTTTAAAAACGGGCAAGAGCTCATTAGAACATTTTCCTTAAATAATCTAGGTATTTCAATATTCTCTGTTGGTAATATTTATCAACTAGTCAAGATTCCAACTGTACTTGCGCAGTGAATCATTTCTAATTTGAAACATGTTTTTATAAACGGTTTTGTTTTCTGAGTGCACAGGAAACTCTTGAAATTTCTTGATTTCCTTCTTCTCTACCGAGAGTAGGCAAGATGGGCACGAATTTTGCCATTTTTCATCCAACCTTTGTGGGGTTTGATACCCTTATTTTCGGCCATTCCAGACGGAAGGTGAGCATTTTTAGAGTCCATAAACCGATTCACTGTTTTCAATTTGGTATACTTCCAACAGATTTATTGGCCTGTCCATGGTGGATGTCCTGGTGGGACGCCATCATCGCTTTCTTCAACTATCTAGCCTGTAGCTAGTAGCCTCCGGTTAAATCTGGAATTTTCCTCTTGATCCCATCCTGAGCCATCCATGATGCCACAAGGTGACTAGAAAGTCTCCACTTCAAGATAGTGTGCTGTTGGGGCCACTTCTCAATTTTGGGGCTATTCTCTTGATCCCACCTTGTTGTGCCGTCCACGATGTTGAAGGGTG